CAAGAGGAGGCCACAAAGAGATCTGAGGGCTGGAGCACCTCTGATCTGGAGACAGGCTGAGAGAGTTGGGGCTGTTCAGCCTGGAGAAGAGAAGGCTCCAGGGAGACCTTCCAGCAGCCTCTCAGTAGCTAAAGGGGCTACAGGAAAGCTGGAGAGGGGCTTTGGACAAGGGTGTGTAGTGACAGAACGAGGGGTGATGGCTTTAAACTGAAAGAGGGGAGATTTCCGTTAGATCTAAGGAAGAAATTTTTCCCTCTAAGGGTGGTGAGGCACTGGAACAGGTTGCCCAGAGAAGCTGTAGATGCCCCATCCCTGGCAGTGTTCAAGGCCAGGCTGGATGAGGCTTTGGGCAAAAGGTTTCCCTGCCCATGGCAGGGGGGTTGGAACTAGATGGTCTCAAAGGTCCCTTCCAACCCAAACCATTCCATGATTCTATGATGCTGTGCTTTCCCCCAGGAATGTCCCCTCTCCTGGCACCCCCAGCTGGGGTTCATCCTCTGAGCCGTTATCTCAAAGCCACCCTTTTATAGCTGCACAGGAACGGGGTGTTTCCAGGGCCTTAAAGGACTTCAGGATTGGGGTTTTGTCAGAACAGTCAATCTCAGGGGACCAGCCAACTCCCATAGGATGGCACGGGAAGCACTGCAGTCCTTGGGGACAGAGGTGGGAGAGCAGCTCTTGCTGTGCTAGAAGCCTCCCGCGTAACGCTTTTGCCACTTGGCTGTAAGAGATGTGAAGTGAGTGGCTTGGGGCAGAAGGAAGCCAGCAAAACACATGCTGCTCCTCACCCCCCTCCTGGCCAGAGCCATCACGAAGCCGTCAGAAGGCTGGTCGTCACGTGGAGAACAGTTCCTCGCTCAGAAGGGTGGGTGGACTTCTTGGGACATCCCTGAAGGAGGCCATCCCCACCCTTTGCTAAAGCTTCTCTTCTACCTGGCACGGCACCCATGGGGCTACGCTACACCCTCCACCCACCAAGGAGAAGCAGTCAGCCAGACGTTCCTCCGCACACACATACGAC